CCCACCTTCTGCACGGCCTTGCGGAGGATGTCCTTGTACTCCTCCTTCGTCACCTCGCGCTTCTGGTAGAAGGGCTTGATGGCCAGCTTCACCTCCTCCACCGCCCGCTCCTGCATGTGCAGCTTCTTCAGGTACTAGGGGCGAGCGCAGGGTGAGTGCCGTGCCCAGGCCTGCAGGGCCCTTGGGGGAGCCCAGCGCTTCCTGCCGTCCTGCCCGTCCCAGGAGGATGGAGAGGGGTCTCACCTCCTCGTTCTTGGCTTTCTCTGTGGCTGGCCGGGGAGTGGCCGTCCTCTCCTCGGAGTTGTTGGTGGCAGCAGCGTGGCCAGCCGGCTCAGAGGCTGTGGTCAGGACGGTGGGCACTGGGGCCAGGCTGGGTGCCGCCCCCCTGCCCGCCAGCGGGAGGCTCCCTTGCAGGATGAACTGCACCGTGGGCTGGCTGACCGGTGCGTAGGGCGGGACACTTGAGGGCAGAGCCAGGGCGGGAGGCAGGCTGGGGCCATAAACCTGGGCAAGAACAGTCCGCTGAGCGCAGCTTCGATGCTGGCAGCACCCCGGCCAGGCGCAGCCCTCGTGGCCCACGGGCAAAGTTACCTCCCCCCGCAGCCCTGACACCCACCTGGGCGGGGTCTGCAGTGGGAAAGCCAGGCTCTGGAAGCGTGTAAGCAGGAGGGGGCTCGGGGCAGGGTGCCTGCTGGGAGTCCACCACAAGGCCTCCGTCTCCGGGTTCCCACGCCTCTTCCTGCGGCTGCTGGGGCCTGTGCAGTGGGGTCCCTGAGGGCCAACACGGGGAGGTGGGTGTTCTGTGACCACCCAGGACGGAACCTACCTCCCGCTGCAAAACTCCAGAGCAGCATCCCAGCACCAAGGACACAGGCTGGATGCAGCCACCTCCCTACCAGAGTGACCCCGGTGCCCGCTCTGTGCCATCCTCCGGGGTGCCCCGGCCCACCTGTGAGGCCACAGGAGCCCCTACTCACGCAGGCCTCGGTCCTCAGCCAGAGCGAGGCCCCGGAGGCCCAGCTGGTGGCCTTCCCCTGCCCCGCCCAGCTCCCCGACCAGAAGCAGCTCCACTACACGGAGAAGCTGCTCCAGCACGTGGCGCCCGGGCTGCGGCTCCATCCAGCTCCGCAGGACTGGGCTGTGGGCCCAGCGCCTGGGCAAATGTAAGGTCTACTGGGAGGTGGGCAGCCACCTGGGCTCCGACAGCCCCTCGGCCCCCGCCTGCCTGCTGGAGCGGAACCGCGACACCTGCATATTCGACTTTGGCACCTTCTTCCGAGGTCAGTGGCGCCCACTCTGGGATGAAAGTCCTTCCCGCCCTCCTGTCCCGGGCCCTCCACTCACCAAGCCCCACCCTGCAGAGCTGATGGAATTCCAGGCCCGCAGGCGCCAGGACTCCCCACACTACACTGTCTACCTGGGCTTCGGGCAGGACCTGTCGGCCAGGAGGCCCAAGGAGAGGAACCTGGTGCTGGTGAAGGTGAGGGCAGGGTCCCAC